TAAAGTATAAAGTTATTTCTATCTAATAGATAATTTGATTATTTATATATTAATAGATTAAATAACTTTCAATTTTTAACTTGTGTTTGTTTAAGTCTAATAATTATTATAATTTCTGCTAATCTAAAATTATTTAATCTATTGTATAGTTTTATTATTTGATTTTCTTGTTGCAATATTCAGATACAGTATTTTTTAAATTATAAATCTTTGATAATAAATTATACTATATTATATAGATTTGTATAAAATACTTTTATTTTTAAAAATTTTTTATATATTGCAATCAAGATATACAATATATTTTTTTGAATATAGTATACTGCATTATATTTTAAATTATATTTTGAGTATTAATATTCTATTTAAAATATAAAGAACTTATATATCTATTATCTTTTTATTTTAGAACTTTAATTATAATGTTGACTTCTTTGAGTATATATTCTTTAAGTTTGAAAGTAGCCTTTTGATTATTCATTCAAATTTTTAAAAATTTGGCTTGTTCTATTTTGTCAAGTTCTTTAATTATTTATTTTTTAATATCTATTTAACCTTTTTTAAAATAGCAGTTAGAATTATTAATAGTTATTAAAACAAATTTATTACTATTGATTTGAGAGTCATTGATATTATAAAAAATTCTAATAGTTTTTAGAATCTTTTTTATATTTTATTAAAAATCATATAAATAATGTAATTTATGTATAATAGATCTAGAATCTAAAAACAAAAGTTTAATATATAATATTAAGTGTTATAAAATAATAAACTATAAATTAAGGTCCAGATACTGATAAGATAACTGTATATATATACTGTAATAAAGTATGAAAGCTTTAGTAAAGTTTGGAATTAATATAATCTATTGTTAATTAGAAAAGTATATATAACCTATTAATATAAGCTAAGAAAACAGTACTAAATAAGAAAAGATAACTCTTATCGAGAATAGAAATAATTATTAGTATTATATAAAAAAATAAAATACAAATAAAAAAGATACTTATTCTTGGTTAAGTCAATTATTATACTATATCTCTGCCTTTTTTAAATGTTCTTTGCAAAAAAAAAAATTCTTTTCTTTTAATATAGTTGTATAAATTTACTATTGATTGTTTGAATTATATAAGACATTATTAATTAGCTATAGACTCACTAATTTAGTTTATAATAATTTTCTTTGAATTTTACTATCTATATTGTATTATTCATAAAGGCTATAGCTATATATTTTAATTTTAGTTTTTAGTGATTTATTTTTTTAGGTCTGAGTTTCAAGTAATTGATATTTTATATTCTTTTTATATATTATTTTGAATTTTGCAAAATAATATATTATAAAAAAATTTTATAAAAATAATGAGATAGTTTTTTTTTTATTAATTCTATTTTTAGTTACTATTAATTTTATAAGATTATTTTTGAATATAATCCAAATTTTTTATTTTGAAAAAAGACTTATTATAATTTTTATAAAATTTTTTGAGGCTTTAATTTTTTCTATTACCTTTATTAATATTTCTAAACTAATTATATAGTATATTTTAACTGTATCCTAAAAAATATTTATAGTTTTTTTTTATTTTATTTAGTATCTTACAGATAATATTAAAAATCTAAATCAATTTTATTATACTTTCTCTTAATAGCCTTATATAGTTAGATTTTTCAAGAATATTATTGTTTTTATAAATATTTTTTATTCTGTTAATAAGAACTTTGATAAAATATTTTTTTATAATCTTTAATAAAACAATAAATCTAATATTTAATAGTTTACAATCCCATGATCTTAATTTAGTTATAAGATAGATATGACTTTGTTTCTATTATATTGAAGTAACTTTTTATTTTAGAAAATTATTAAGCATTTTTCTTAATATTTTTTTTTCTTCCTAGTTTAATCTTTTTAATATTTCATAGCTGATTTGTAATTTTTTTAGAGCTTTATTATTTGAAAATGTATAAAGTATTTTATCTGATTTTTTTAAAAGATTGATTTAACTAATTTATTATATTAAGCTTCTTAACTTATTTCTAGATCTATATTTCTTTTCTCAATTTTTTGATAAACTATTATACCAACCTTTCTTTTTTTAAATGCTTTTAAATAATATTGTTTTATTTTTTTCTTGATTTTTTTTATTTATTATAATATATTTATTATTACCCTGCTTGGTTTTGATTCTATAAAGTATTATTTTATTTTTTATTTGATTTGTTATAAAGTTAACTATTCTTTTCTGGTTGTTTCTTAAATTATTATATTATTTTTAAAGCAGTTTAAATAGTATTTTTTATTTATTTTCTATTTAACCTTTGATATATAAACTTGAGATCTTTTATTATATTTTGAATATTCTTTTTTAAAGATTTTTATAATATATTAGAAATACTATATTGAATACAATAATTTATAATCTGAAGATTTGGATTGTAAATTCTATATATTTTTCTATAACTAAATTAAAAATTTGTAACTTTTCTATTTTTTAATACCTCTATCTTGTTGTTTTATTAATTTTTTTTTTTTATATATTTGTATATTTTTAAGTATATATATATATTTATTTAATTATATATTTCAATGATTTAATAAGATATATAACAATGATAACTTGTGAAGTATAGATTAAAAAGATTTTTATTTACTAATGAAGCAATAAATTATTTTTGAAGCTGTACTTAAACAAATTTCAAAACAGAAACAAGTAAGTTGAGTAGAGATTTGGCTTTAGTGATATATTTTATGATATAAAGTATATAAATATTTAATAAAACACACATATCCAGCTTGACAAAGAATTTTTTTAAAAAAAAAGAAAAAAAAAGTTTTTATTCAAAGTTTATTATGAAGCAAAGTATTGTCCATAAGATTAAACTTAGAGAATATTAATGCATATTATAAATAGTAAAATTTGATATTATATTTAACTGTAATATATATCTTGCTGCTCAAACCAATAAGTACTTGTGTATTCTATTAATTAATAAATAACAGTCTAATCTGGCTACATGTATTACAAATAAATATAGCTATTTTTTAAAAATAAAACCTATATAAAAATTTAATTGCAAAATAAAAAGCAAAAAAATGTTAAACCCGAATGCATAATAATTTACAATAAATAAATTTAATGAGCCTGAGCAATAAATTTAGAAATAAATAAATTTTAATTTCTTGACAAAATCAATGGATTTTACGTATTTATTTAATAAATAAAGGGGTTTACTGTAATCGAATATATAATTTTTATATATGTAATAAATATCTCGTATTGGTTAAAATATAAAGAGATATTAAGTTCCAATTAGTATATTTGTGATACACCAATTAGAAGTGAATATAATATCATAATTAATTTGGTAGACTTGAATTTCAAAACACAATTTTCATGGATCGTGTTAATTAAAAAACATTTGTATTCGTTATACCGATTATTTAGGGCAGCATTGGTTATTATAACTGCGGATAAGTATACAGTAAATACTTAACAAATTTTTTCAGTGTGGGTAGGCTTTTTTTAAGTACTGCATTTATTTACAATTATTTAGAAAAAAAAATGTCCATTAAGTTTGTCCCCAAAATTCTTTCTTCCATACCGCAAAAAAAAAAAAAGACGACGAATTCGCGAAATCATATTAATTACTGGGAAATTCCTTTTCCGGAAACCTTTTCGAAAACCCAATTCATATTTCTATATCTATTATATAAAAATTCCAAATAAGGATGTGCTTCTTTACCATTATAATCAGATTTCTTTAATTTCGTGGAAAACATTAAAGGAGATAAAAAGGCATTTATTGTCGACTGATATGGCGCAACGGACGCGTAACATGAGCACATCACATTATCAGCTACCAAGGTACCGGCACGTGTAAATATTGCAATATAACCCTTGTGAATTTCCTGTTTAAAACGAGAAAGAACATGAGACGAGATCTCTAGACATATGCATTCCATGTATTATATTACGTACCGTCGTTACATTAGCAACTCGAACGAGCTGCATTTGAGAATCAATGAGCACTCGAAGTTGGGTTGAATATGGTTGAACATTTCTTGCAAAATCGAAATAATTATTGATCATTATGTGATGATCTGATGAAAGTGTAACCGATTCTGTGTATTATCATTAATCAGTATAAAAAAAATATATATATATATATATAATTAATTAAATAATCAATAAAAATAAAAATAAAATAGGTAACAAACTTAGATGTTATTATTTTTTTTTTTTTTTTGCATTTTACGCACCCGTTAATCCAGTTCTCGGTGAGGTGAACTCGATTTTCAAGAATTCAGTTTCCGCTTCGGGGTCGTAATGCGCGATTAAGTACACCTCTGAAAATTCCAGATGTCCATTGCTAGCGTCTACGCAAACCCTATCGCCCACCACCACCGATGAAATAGGAACCGTCTTTCCGATTTCAAGTATGACTTTGGTGTCCAACTTGAAGCACTTTCCGGATGCCTCATTGTACGCCACTCTTTGCCCTACCCGGTCCACTTCTTCCTTCAGCTTTTGAATCTCTCTCTCGTATTCATCCATTTGCATTTTCACCCACGTTGGTAGACGTTCCTCTTGTTCCCGTTCGATAGCCTCCCGAGCCTCTCGAACTCTATTGAACATTTCGGTAGTGTAGGCCGCATCGAAACTATCGATAAGAAGTTTTGCTTTTTCGATGTTACTACACACTACTTCTTCACCTTGATGAAATAGATCGGGATTGGGTGAAACTATGTAGCGATTGTTAACTGAGGCGAGGAAGGATTTCATATCATTATTCAGAGCTCTTTGTAGATTTTCATCATCCGTTGTTTGATTTACGTTACAATGACTGAAGGCGACTATCATATGTTCCAATGCTTGATCGCCAAGAAAACTTTTAATGATTGTCAGTGTTTTTGATGAATAACTATTGCAGTTCTTATCTGATGTATAAAATATTTAAGTTTTAACATAACTGAAAGCGAATCCATTAACTCGTTTGAATAAAATATTTATTTATCAACTTACTAATAACAAATACTATTGCTTGAATCCCATATGAGCAGAGATTGATTGTATTTGCGATCTTGTTTAATGAGTCTTCGTCTTTTACATCTTCATTTGGATCGAATAGACCTTTCAAGAAAGTAAGGAAAGCGTCATGTTAAAGTATTCTAATGATGATAATAATTTTTAAGCATCAATACCAGGAGTATCAATGATATTGTAGGGACGATCAAATATCTTTATTGATTGCGTGTGGCATTTTTTTGTTTTTGAATTCTATGAAATTAGAAAGTGACACGAAATTATTATAATTGATCGTTTAAAGATTTTTTAAAAAAAATTCATGATTCATACAAAATATTCCCCCGTGTCAAACGGTCCTTTATCACCATCAAATCCTAGTAGCCAATTTCCGAAAGTGCTTTTTCCTGCTCCCATCTGTCCTAACAACAAAATCGCCGGATGTTGAACTCTCTTTGGAGACAAAAAGTTGGTTTTCTGAGGAACTGCAAAGTTTTCTTTTTCATTATCCATCTCATTGGCATCAACAGGATCATATACCGGCGTCGTGGCGTCTTGCATGACTTTAGAATTTTTTAAATCATCTTGTGTATGCATCGTAGAAAATTTTTTTCGTAGATATTAATATTTGTGTCAAGATAGAAGGATGAAAAAAGCGTACTTGAAATTTGAACGTCTTTTATGTCTTTAAAATTAGATGAATGATGCATTGATGATCCTCATTACGTACTGCATGTGAGGCGAGGTACATGTTGCACAAACGACTTATGTGAGAAATTAAGGTTAAAAAACACTACTTATTCAATGTTTACTTAATTACCGTTGTCATTGTACGTATTGATGATATGCAATTCATTATTAATTAAACTTGACCTTCATCAACTCATCATTTAATCATGAATACCAATATGATTAGAAAAATAAAGTTTGCGTTCAAAATCATCAATTTGCAACGAATACAGAAGTAGTTGTTTTATTAGAAAGTCGAAAACTATTTCTTTTAACTATTTTTTAAAAAATCATAGGCTCTCAAAAAAACCATTCAAAGGTTCATAATTGTAATTATGTTACGATGATATATTAAATACTTTAATTTTTTTTTTTTTACCCTTTGTCAAGTTAGTTATGTATACTTTATTAAACAAAAGTATGTTATACATACTGTATATTGGAACTATGTAATACTAAACTAAGTCTATAACTAATGATTCTAAGTATATCTTTGAAAATGATTTGACATTTCATTTACAATTCAAATGATACCCTTCTAATTATATACAGTATATCATCACCTGCAGGTTACCATTATAGATTCTTTACAAAATTTTAACTGAAGCTAAAATTTTATTTATTTGCTATTCATCTTAATTTATTTTATAATTATTGTATATCAGATAAGTTTGAATCTATCATTTTATTTTTTAACATACACTAGTCGAAAAATATTTATTTGGTATAATTTTTTTTTTAAATGCTAGCTCATTCTTGCACCAGTTTATATGTTTTATTATAATCAAGATATGTCCTAGGAACAACTGGGATAAGTAATTACCCATACTGTCTAAAAATTTATAGATCAACAAATAGTACAATGAGTATCTATTTACATCTCACCCAACCAAGATGGGATAACTATATGACTATCTAGTGCTGGACTGTCTCTTAATTCTAACTAAGTTATAGAAGTTGGAGAGTTTATACTTCATAAAGTGACCTTATCATTTTTAACATATATCTGAAAGTAGTACTTCTAGAATTTTTGTAGTTCACCGGATAACCTGTTGTTATCCCTTATTAGGAAGATTAACAGGTCAAGAACTTATCTAAGATATCTAGTACCACCAGTATTAGGGATCTCTTGTACAAGATGATTCTGTTAGCACTTAAAGTTTTTTATTTTTTGTTTATAGAGACATATCTTGTATCTTAGTCAATCTTGATACTTGATTGGAACAGTCTTGTGTAAAAGATATTAGATTAATTTAGTTTTTCTTACTTATTTTGTCTGGGATCTATCTTATATCTTCAGTATTATACTAAACTAAACTTTGTCTTCTTATAAGTATGTCTTGTTTCTTTCTATAAATGGATAAGTCCTTCTTATATTATAATCAGATAATCAGTTCTGTATAGAAAAATTGTATCATTTATGTTCACCTTATTAATAACTTATATTGGTTCAAATCTTGTCTTATTATGGTTATTATAAGTGAATGAGTTCTCCTTATTGCCTTATTTGGACACTTGATCATTATTATAGAATAAATAAGATCTTTATATTATTTATAGCTTATTTTCACATTAGTCCTCATATAGTATTGAACTCTGAATCTTGTAATTGTGATCTAGGAGTACTACTACTGTGTTATGGATTTACAGATTATTCAGTATAATACTACTTATATAATATTTGTCAAAAAAATAAATAATTTAATATATTAATAACATAAATAAATCGTCAATCAATTTCTACTATATAATTTGACATAAATAAATTGTTAATCAATTTTTATTATATAATTTAATATAAATAAATCATCAATTAATTTCTTTTTTTTTTTTTGAGTACCTGTAGTCAGGCTATATTGTCAGTTTATTAATCCATTGAAAACACAAGTACATTTTCATTCGAGCAACATGATATATACTACAGCTAAACTATTATTCTAATCTAACTAATTTGTCTTAAGTATAAAAGTCTCTAAGTTCAACCTTGGGAACAATATTTCATTTTGCAGTATCTTTGGATAAAAACCCTCCTAGTCCACTACATCATTGCCAGCAGATTGTCATTGCCATATATCTAACCAAGCTACTAAAATACAGGAAACTACAAAAGGATGTGTTGAAAAAAGTAGAGAGGGAATATTTAAAAATGTCTAAATAGATGATAAGAAAATAAAAAAGTAAAAATTGAAAAAATATATTTCCAGCTTCCTCCAAAAATCTGTTTCTCAAGATTTTTTCTCAATAAGTAATGTTCAATTGAGATATTCTTTCTTTTTCTAACCATCTGAAGAACTTATTCATTCTTGATCTTGATTTTCTTCTTGTGTACCATCTGAGAAGACTTATCGCCTAGTAGGAATCTTTATTTCTAGAACTCACCTAGTTCTAATCTTCTTTGGACAGTGATTTTCTATCCATCTGTAGTAAAAAGACAACTTATAATGGACCCCAGGTTCTTATGTGATCTAGTAAGGACTAGGTTATATTGTTTCAGTATGATACCTTCCAGCAGCTATACCTATAGTAATTAAAGGAATTTTACTGATATACATCTTCCATTACTCAAAAGATCAAATTCCTCAATAATCCTTTTGTCTTATAATGGTGAGAGGTTAACAATAGTGATAGGGATTCTCGTCGATTGTAATATCCTTCAACAACTTTTGAAAAAATTCATTCTCAACTATAACCAAAAGATTGGAGCTTAGTATGAACTAGAGACTATTT